TCGGGAGGATAGACGGTGGGGGAGGGGGCCTCATCAGCCGCTAACGGCAAGTGACAGAGCCACGGAACACAAAATCGGAACTTTTACAAGTCAGCTCCGCTGAGGGACGTCACTCCAGTGGATAAGCAGGGGGTGGAACCCTAGCTGGGACAGTGTGGTCTCATGACCCTCAGGGTCACACAAAGACCAGGGCTGCCTGAGTGCGGCAGAGCTCCCAGGTATCAGAGCAGGGAAGCTGGCTGCAGAGACAGAGCCGAGGTGTGGGCTCTCAGCTCGGGGTTGCCATAAACTGTGATCCACGGCACAGTCAGGCCACTGTTCTTCCAGCAGGGACCCAACAAGTGGCAGATCCGGGGAGACTCCCCTTCCTCCCTTGGGAGAAGCGGTGTGGGAGCAACCGCAGGGATCTCCTGGGTTTGGAGACTCCAAACGGGGTTGTGTGCCAGAGACAGAAACGCTCGGTCACAGGCCGGGTGAGCACGGAGTGCGGCTGGAGACCCGGGAGACAGGAGTGATTGACTGCTTTTCTCTGGTGGCGCAGTGAAGAGTGGGGCCCTGAGTTCTCAGCCCCTCCATGGCGGAGATTGGGAGGCCGCCATTTTCACGCTCATCCTCCTTGCAGGGAACAAAATCTCCCTAGACCAAACCCGAGCACATTACTAAGCCCAGACCCCACAAGGGCGGGGCAATTCCAGCTCTGGAAAAGACATTTGGGAACCACGGCAACAGGCCCTGCCCCCAGAAGATCAGCAAGAACAGCCAGCCAAGACCAAGTTTCCCGACCAATGAGAATGGCAGAACTCCAGCGCTAGGGGAATACAGCACATAGAATTCATGGCTTTTTTCCCATGATTCTTTAGTCTTTCAAAATTACTTTTTTTAATATTCTTTTTCCCTTTTTCAACCAACATCTTACCAATCCCTTTTTAAAATAATTTTTATTTTTCATTTTTAGAGTCATATTCTATCCCTTCATAGTAGTTAACCTTATTTTTGGTATATATGTATAACTTGTTCCCTCTTTAAAATTTTGGGATACAGTTTCTTCTAACAGACCAAAATATACCCTAAATCTCTAGTGTAAAGCCTTGTTCTAGTCTCCTGCCTGATCATATTCTCTCCCTTTTTTTTTTAAATCTTCTTCTTTCTTTTTTCAACCAACTTCTTATCTTAGCAATTTCTTTTATAAAATCTTTTATGATTTTCATCCTTACAGTCATATTCCAACACTTCATTGTATTTACCCTTATTTTTGTACATATATAAGTTTTTCTTTCTTCAAAATTTTGGGAGGCACTTTCTTCTAACAGACCAAAATACGCCCAAAATCTAGTGTGTGGCACTGATCTATTTACCAGCCTGATCATATTTGATCAAATTCTTTTTTATTTATCTTTTCCTTTTTTTTTCTTTTTCTTTCTTTCCCTTTCTTTTCCCCTGGTTTCAGGTCTCTTCTGATTTGTATAGTGTATATTTTTCTGGGGTCGTTTTTACCCTGTTAGGATTTTGTTCTCTCATTCATCTATGGTCCTCTGGTCAAAAATAACAAGACGGAAAAAATCACCTCAAAAAAAAAAAAAAAAGAACAAGAGGCAGTACCTAATGCCAGGGGCCTAATCAATACAGACATTCGTAAAATGTTGGAACTAGAGTTCAGAATGATGATTTTAAAGATACTAGCTAGGCTTGAAAAAAGCGTGGAAGATATTACAAAAACCCTTTCTGGAGAAATAAAAGAACTAAAATCTAAACAAGTTGATATCAAAAAGTCTATTAATGAGGTGCAATAAAAAATGGAGGCTCTCACCGCTAGGATAAATGAGGCAGAAGAGAGAATTAGTGATATAGAAGACCAAATGATGGAAAATAAAGAAGTTGAGAAAAAAAGAGATAAACAACTACTGGATTACGAGGGCAGAATTCGAGACATAAGTGATACCATTAGACAAAACAATATTAGAATAATTGGGATCCCAGAAGAAGAAGGAAGAGAGAGAGGGGAAGAAGGTATATTGGAACAAATTATAGCAGAGAACTTCCCTAATTTGGGGAAGGAAACACATCAAAATCCAGGAGGCTCAGAGAACCCCTCTCAAAGTCAGTAAAAATAGGTCAATACCCCGACATCTAATAGTAAAACTTACGAGTCTCAGAGACAAAGAGAAAATCCATAGCTCAGGAGAAGAGATATGTAAACTACAATTGTAGAAATATTAGATTGGCAACAGACCTATCCACAGAGACCTGGCAGGCCAGAAAGGACTGGCATGATATATTCAGAGTACGAAATGAGAAAAATATGCAGCCAAGAATACTATATCCAGCTAGGCTGTCATTGAAATTAGAAGGAGAACTCAAAAGCTTCCAGGACAAACAAAAACTAAAGGAATGTGCAAACACAAAACCAGCCCTCCAAGAAATCTTGAAAGGGGTCCTCTAAGCCAAGAGAGATCCTAAAACAGCATAGATCAGAAATGAACACAGACAATATACAGTAACAGTCACCTTACAGGCAATACAATGGCACTAAATTCATATCTTTCAATAGTTACCCTGAATGTAAATGGGCTAAATGCCCCAATCAAATGACAGAGGCTACCAGATTGGATAAAAAGACAAGACCTATGAATACGCTGTCTGCAAGAGACTCATTTTAGACCCAAAGACACCCCAGGTTGAAAGTGAGGGGGTGGCAAACCATTTACCATGCTAATGGACACCAAAAGAAAGCTGGGGTGGCAATCCTTATATCAGACAAATTAGATTTTAAACCAAAGACTGTAATAAGAGATGAGGAAGGACACTATATCCTACTTAAAGGGTCTATCCAACAAGAAGATCTAACAATTGTAAATATCTATGCCTCTAACATGGGAGCAGCCAATTATATAAGGCAATTAATAACAAGCAAAGAAACACATCGACAACAATACAATAATAGTGGGGGACTTTAACACCCCCCTCACTGAAATGGACAGATCATCTAAGCAAAAGATCAACAAGGAAGTAAAGACTTTAAATGACACAGTGGACCAAATGGACTTCACAGGCATATTCAGAACATTCCATCCCAAAGCAACAGAATACATATTCTTCTCTGGTGCCCATGGAACATTCTCCATAATAGATCACATCCTAGGTCACAAATCAGGTCTCAACCAGTACCAAAAGTTTGAGATCATTCCCTGCATATTTTCAGACCACAATGCTTTGAAACTAGAACTCAATCACAAGAGGAAAGTCAGAAGGAACTCAAATACATGGAGGTTAAAGGGAATCCTACTAAAGAATGAATGGGTCAACCAGGAAATTAAAGAAGAATTAAAAAAATTCATGGAAACAAATGAAAATGAAAACACAATGGTTCAAAATCTTTGGGATGCAGCAAAGGCAGCCCTAAGAGGAAAGTATATAGCAATACAAACCTTTCTCAAGAAAAGGAAAGATCTCAAATACACAACCTAACCCTACACCTAAAGGTGCCAGAGAAATATAGGAAATAAAGCCTAACCCCAGTAGGGAAAGAGAAATAATAAAGATCAGAGCAGAAATCAATGAAATAGAAACCAAAGGAACAGTAGAACAGATCAACGAAACTAGGAGCTGGTTCTTTGAAAGAATTAATAAGATTGATAATCCCCTGTTCAGACTCATCAAAAAGAAAAGATAAAGGACCCAAATCAACAAAATCGTGAATGAAAGAGGAGAAATCACAACCAACACCAAAGAAATACAAACAATTATAAGAATATATTATGAGCAAATGTATGGCAGCAGTTTAGATAATCTGGAAGAAATGAGTGCATTCTTAGAGATGTATAAATTACCAAAACTGAACCAGGAAGAAACAGAAAACCTGAACAGACCTATAACCACTAAGGAAATTGAAGCAGTCATCAAAAAATCTCCCAAGAAACAAGAGCCCAGGGCCAGATGGCTTCCCAGGGGAATTCTACCAAACATTTCAAGAAGAATTAATACCTATTCTCCCGAAACTGTTCCAAAAAATAGAAATGGAAGGAAAACTTCCAAACTCGTTTTATGAGGCCACCATTACCTTGATCCCCAAACCAGACAAAGACCCCATCTAAAAGAATTACAGACCAATATCCGTGATGGACATGGATGCAAAAATTCTCACCAAAATACTAGCCAATAGGATCCAACAGTACATTAAAAGGATTATTCACCACGACCAAGTGGGATTTATCCCTGGGTTGTAAGGTTGGTTCAACATCCGCAAATCAATCACTGTTATACAATACATTAATAAAAGAAATAACAAGAACCATATGATACTTTCAATAGATGCAGAAAAAGCATTTGACAAAGTACAGCATCCTTTCTTGATCAAAACTCTTCAGAGTATAGGGATAGAGGGTACATACCTCAATATCATAAAAGCCATCTATGAAAAACCTACAGCAAATATCATTCTCAATGGGGAGAAGCTGAGAGCTTTTCCCCTAAGGTCAGGAATGCGGCAGGTATGTCCACTCTCACCGCTGTTATTCAACACAGTATTAGAAGTCCTAGCCACAGCAATCAGACATCAAAAGGAAATCAGAGGCATCCAAATCGCAAAAGAGTAAGTCAAACTCTCACTCTTCACAGATGATATGATACTGTATGTGGAAAGCCCAAGACTCCACCCCAAAACTGCTAGAACTCATACAGGAATTCAGCCAAGTGGCAGGATATAAAATCAATAAGGTATATGTTAAAAAAAAATAGCAGGAAGGGAAAAATGAAGGGGGGAAAATCGGATGGGGAGACGAACCATGAGAGACTATGGACTCTGAGAAACAAACTGAGGGTTCTAGAGGGGAGGAGGGTTGGGGATGGGTTAGCCTGGTGATGGGTATTAAAAAGGGCACGTATTGCATGGAGCACTGGGCGTTATACGTCAACAATGAATCATGGAACACTACATCAAAAACTAATGATGTATGGTGATTAACATAACATAATAAAATTAAAAAAAAAGATGAAGCATGTACCTTTCCAATAAATGCCATGGCATTTGCACTCCCAGCCTTTGCTGCCTTTAAGAAGTAGTATAATGCTTTCTGGAGAGGAAAGGGACAGTATTATTGATGGTCACAAACATATCCTACAAAATGACTTTTCAGACCAAACTTTATTTCATTTAACATGCATTCAAAAAGTATTTATGAAATGCGCACACCTTTTAAGGTACTATTTCAAATGCTATTTCAAACCTAAACCTGAAGAGTGGGAGCTATATATGGTTCACATATGTAATTTTAAAATGTGAGGCTTTGGTTTCTCGCATGTGGAAAGGCATGATGGGCATGTGGCTTTTTGGAGGACAGATGGATCCCAGCTCGAGAACTACATTGTCTATTATTTTGAAAAGTATGCTTCGATGTTGACACTATGTACTTATTTCATAAGACAGTTTGTACAATTTGGTAGAATTGGATATGTAGCTTCCTAATGTTTATAAGGTGGAGTGAATAAAACAAGACACATCTGGCCGCCTGCTGAGACCAGGTCTTTTTACAGAGGTAAACTTCAGGCCAATTCTTTCTAAATCAAAATGAAGGAGCCCAGCCTAGTCTCTGATTCTCTTTAGGTCATAACATTAATTGAAATGCTCAGTCTAGAACTTATAAGGGTTGACCTGACCCTTCTTGCCCATTCCCTAGGCCTCATCTTGACCTCTTAGAAGTTCTCCTCAGAAACTACATGAAGCATTAAAAGAAATCCACTGCAGGAATGAGGAATGAAGACACTCTCTGAAGTGTCTTTTTAGGACACAACTCATCTGCTCTTTAAAAAGTCTTGACTAGGTTGATGGGCAAGGATCTGCTCCTCCTCAAAGAGAAGAGAAGGTTTAAGGAAGAAATGTGAGTAGTTCTTTTATATGTAAATTTACTCCAGAAATATTGCCAATTTATTTGGGAGCCACACCCTTGTTCTAAAGTCAGTGTGCCTTGTGGACATAATTAATATAAATGCCACCAGGGCTGTACCTCACCAAACCATACACCCATGCATCCATCCACCTCTTCTAGTCTTCATTTATTCTTTCAGAAACTTGATTGAAAAGAGCTATGTATATGGTAGTATGTTGTTATTATAGGTGAGTCACAAATGAATAAAAAATACCATCCCTACACTTGCTCTCTACCAATACCGCTGAGAAGAAAGGTATATATGCAAATAGCAATGACAGTGGGTGAGAGGTGGGAACAAAGGAACACCAAAAAGAATTAGAGAGGTATGGCATAACAATTATACATATGTGTTTTACAATCTTTGTCTTACCTAATCTTCACAACAGCTCTAGAAGAAGGTACTATTAATATCTGAGCCAATTTTGTGACACTGAAAGTCAAGCAACTGGTACTAGAGTCCCATAAGCAGCCTGCTTCCAATTTCCATGCACTTAGTACTCTGCCTTCATGGTGTCAAGAAAGAGGACTCAAATGACAAAGGTCTCACAAAAAAATGGAGAGAATTCACCAGTGCAGAGGACATCTTAGGCTGAGGAATAACATGAGTAAGGAACAGAGATAGAAATGTCCAAAGTGTGTCTAGGAAATACTAATTACTTCAGTATGGCTGAAGTAGAATATCCAAAAGCTAAGACTTGAAAGAATATGATGGGGCCATATTTTAACAGTCTTGAATACTAGGCCAAGGCTTCTATTTTCTTTGGTAGAAGATAAAAGCTGTTGGAAATTTATGAGCATAAGGGAATCTTAAAACAACAAATGATGTCCAAAATGTCCAGAACAACCTAAGTGTCAATTGGATAGGAGAAAATTGTAGCAATGTATGATTTATCAATCATCTATCAGTAAACAAATCAAATGTATGATTTACCAATCACATTTATCAGACCCCATTAAGATAGAAAATGAAGGTATTTCTTATGAATGCCTCTACTGAGCCAAGACCCAAATATACCTATAGGCAACTATCATGGCAAGCATCCATAGATTTAAATGTCTGAATCCCCTGTACTTAGCACAGTGTCTAACTGTATATCAGGCATTCAGGAAATATTTCTGGAGTGAATACATGAGCGAGGCAATGAAAGGATAAGTTTATAAATCTCTAAAACGGGGAGCTGGATTTTAAGCTTTATAGTCCCTTATAGCTCTTATACTATGATTCTGTGAAATAATTTTCAAAGTCCAGTTTCAGAATTTGGCTCTCAAAATATTTGGCAATAGAAAATCTTGGGAAAAAATTGTCACTCTGAGAAACTATATTTGAATTGTTAAAAGAGAATAAGCAAATAAGAATCAGAAGAAAATAAGAATCCTGGAGTTTTCCCCATCTTTCAATATGATGATCCCATAAAGACAAAGGAATTGAAGCTTTCTCTAATTTCCCCTTCTACACCCTTCCACTCTCATGGCTTACTTGACATTTCAGTTCTCTTTTATTTGTCTTTAAATTAACCTGACTTTAGTGTTATTGCTTTAATTGTATGAACATTTACTAAACACTATGTGAAAGTATCATGCACGTTACTTTGATGAGTCTTTGCTCTCAAAGAGTTAAGTATCCATTCATCCATCTATCTGTCAATCCCTCCATCTACCCATCCATCCATCTTCCCATCCATCCATCCATCCATCTGCTGTGGTCTGCATATTTGTGTCCCTTCAAAATTCATATGTTGAAAACCTAATACCCAAAGTGATGGTATTAGGAGGTGGGATCTTTGGAAGGTGACTGGCACAGAGCTTTCATGAATGGGATCAGTGCCTTCATAAAGGAGGCCTCAGAGAGCTAGCCCATTCTTACTGTTATGTGAGGATACAATGAGAAGTTCATAAACTAGAAGAGGGCCCTATCCAACCATGCTGACACTCTGATCTCAAACTTCTAGCCTCTGGAAATGTGAGAAATAAGTTTTTGTTGTTTATAAGCCACCCAGACTATGGTATTTTGGATATAGCTGCTAAAACTGACTAAGACACCATCCATCCTTCCTTTAAATATTTATGGAGCACCTACTGTCATATTTTACTGATTCTAAGATGTACCCTCACACCCACTTTAATCAGGACACTTCTTACTATCAATGGCATCATATAATTTATAGTGGCAGTGTTTTTTCTTTCTTAATAGAACATAAAGTATCTTATAATTGATGGTGTCTTAGATAGGATGAAATATAGTATGTCCCAGGTATTATGCGAAGTGAAATGTTATTATTTAAACATATATCTTCTTAAAACAATGAGCATGATTTTTCATTGGTTCAAGAAAATCCCTAGGTTTAATCAGTTTGTAACATTTCCCCTAGAATGAAATGCCAAGAAAATGTATTACTTTAAAAATATTTATGAATACTTCTTTTATCTCAAAATCTGTAAATCATTCTGAAAAGGAATGAAATTATCTCTTGTTTATTTAATGGGTGTCAGGGTAGACAAAGCATTTGCCCTTATATATCTGGTATTATGCCTCTGCTAGGTTTAATTTAGTTATGCCACATCCACTTTATTTTTTTATTAACATATAATGTATTATTTGTTTCAGGGGTACAGGTCTATGATTCATCAGTCTTACACAATTCACAGCACTCACCATAGCACATACCCTCTCCAATGTCCATCACCCCCCAATCCCTCCCACCCTGAGATAGCCACTTTAATAATATGCACCCAAATACCCAGCTTTCCTAATCCAATTTATTCTGAGCCTGTATAAATTTAGGAATGCAAATTACATTAAAATATGTGTAGAAATTCAATATAATGTAATCAAGGATTGCATATACAATATTTTTCAGTAATTAAAATTTGGTAGTGGGGGAGGGAGCGGTGAAAATGTTACCTATAGTGATAACTCATGAGAGACTAATTTAATCAAACAACGAGAAGAAAAAAAAAAAGGCAAACTAGTTTTTTCCCAGTATTTTATTTTATTTAATTTTTTAATTTTTTAATTTTTTTAAAGATTTTATTTATTTATTTGACACACAGAGAGAGATAGCAAGAGAGAGGGAGGGAGCACAAGCAGGGGGAGCGGCAGGCAGAGGGAGAAGCAGGCTTCCTGCATGAGCAGGGAGCCCGATGTGGGGCTTGATCCCAGGACCCTGGGATCATGACCTGAGCTGAAGGCAGCAGTTTAACCAACTGAGCCACCCAGGCGCCCTTTCCCAGTATTTTAATACTTGATTTGCTGGGCAGTAAACTGGGCATTACTTACAATTATAAAGAACCATACACTAATAATTTTCTTTGGTGGACTGAAGCATTGGCATACTGGCTCAAGTGGTGGTTCTCAGGCTGAGGACCAACATATAATGCTTAGGATGTTATCACTCACTCATTCATTCATTCATTCACTAAATACCAAGTACCTAATATGTACCCAGTACTATCAAGAGTATAGGATACATAGGAATGAGTAAGACAAACAAGAACTTACATTCCATTGTGGGGAGACAGATCGTAAACAAGTCAAGATCTATATGATTCAGGGGGTGATATGGGAAAAGGAAAATAAACACTGTGATAGGATAAGTGGTGGAGAGTAGAGTTGATCAAGAAAATCCTCTCTAAGGAAGTAAGACTTGGAAAGATGAGAGGCCAGCCATGGGAAGAGTTGTAGTAATAGCCTTTCAGAAATTGGGTTTTTCCTTTTAGCTTCTCTCACTCCCATGCCACTTCAAGTTGATCCTGGTACAGCTAAGCTGTGGTAAGGTGCAAAAATGACCACAATACTTCGCAGTTGTGCCTATTAAAAGAAGTCCTTTTCCCCTGCCCCTTCAATGTTGGCTGGACTTGTAATTTGCTTTGGCCAAAAGAATGTGGTAGAAGTGATTTGTGAGTTCCAACCCTAGGCTGTAAGAGACTTTCGAGCTTGTCTTCTTAGAACCCTGGGCGGCCATGTGAAAAGCTTGGGCACAGTTGGCTGGAGGAAGGGAGCATGTGGAGAGTCCTAGTCATCCTAGGTCACAGATGAGGCCATCATAAACCATCCAGCTCTGGCCAATACTCTACAGATGCATGAGCAAGCCTAGTCAAGATTGGTTGAGCCTGGCTGAAAACATAAGACTTACTCAGCTGAGCCCAGCCAAAACGGCTGACCTGACAAAATCATAAATAAATGGTTGTTGTTTTAAGCCATCTAAATTGGGGAGTGGTTTATGAGGCAGCCTAAACTAACGCATACATAAGCCAATCAGTCTTCTTTTTTTTAATGTTGAAATTTTTTTTAAATTTTATTTTATTATGTTATGTTAGTCACCATATACTACATCATTAGTTTTTGATGTAGTGTTCCATGACTCAGTGTTTGCGTATAACACCCAGTGCTCCATTCAATACATGCCCTCCTTAATACCCATCACCGGGTTGACCCATCCCCCCACCCCCCTCCCCTCTAGAACCCTCAGTTTGTTTCTCAGAGTCCATAGTCTCTCATGGTTCGTCTCCCCCTCCAATTCCCATCCCCTTCATTTTTCCCTTCTGACTATCTTCTTTTTTTTTTTTAAACATATAATGTATTATTTGTTTCAGAAGTACAGGTCTGTGATTCAACAGTCTTACACAGTTCACAGTGCTCACCATAGCACATACCTTCCCCAATGTCTATCACCCAGCCACCCCAGCCCTCCCACCCCCCACCACTCCAGCAACCCTCAGTTTGTTTCCTGAGATTAAGAATTCCTCATATCAGTGAGATCAAATGATACATGTCTTTCTCTGATTGATTTATTTCTAAGCCAATCAGTCTTAAGGTTTGAAGACTTAACTAGAGCTCTCCAGGCAGGTTTCGGTTTATTAGGTTGAGGAAAGCTGGAAGGACAAGCATGTGTCTGAACCACTCTGATGGTTCTGGAATCAAACCAGGCTTTTGGTGATATCTGGATGGGAAGCATGGAGCCCAAGCCAGCCATTTGAAAGTTAGAGCTAAAGAAACCTAATTATATCATTCCTTCTTTTTACATTATAAATGAGGAAACTAGATTTCAGAGGCTGTATACTACCCCCCGCCCAGGTTAAAAGGAAGCAAGGTTTAATGGAAAGAGCACAGGCTTTGAATGCTGAAGCCCAGATTTCAAATTCTGATTCTTAACATTACTAGTCAGCTGTGATACTTGAAACAATTTACTTCATCCCTACAGCCTCAGCTCTTCATCTATAAGATAGAGATAATAAAACCTCTGTGAATGAGCCCATAGGAGAGCCTGAGTGGGCTCCTTGATGTTGCCCAAGTGCCTGGCTGTTGCCACTATAGCACCAGAACCCTTCACTGCCAGCCCTGAGATTGTACTTCATCCTCATCAGGAGGCAGCTCCCATCTGGTGTTCACAGTGGCTGGAGGTGCCACTTTAGCTTTGTGGAGTTTTTCTGTACTCTGCAAAGATTGACGGATTTTCCCTACAGCTGAGGTTTGGGTACCTTAGTACTCAACAGAATTTCATGTTTATGGAAAATGGGTAATTCTTACTAGTTTATGCATCTGTTATTTAACATGAGAAACTCATTGCAGGCTGAAATCTGACACTGGAGTAATATCGTGAATCTAGAACTTCCCATCTAAGAAGCTAGAACCTTGGTTATGGTGAGAATTAATAAAATCTGAACACCTTCAATTGGGCTGTCTTAAGATGCATGTGCTTATTTCAAGTGCTACCCGTTTTGTCACTTTTTATAAAATTAACTTTGACATTTAGCCAATGTATACTGTACCTCATATAAAACACAAGTTACACTCATAAAAACAATACAAAGTGAAATGAACAGTAACAACAGATCACTCTTTTATGTAACCACCTTATTAAAGTAGTTATTTCTATTGCTTAGCTATTGGGACCATGTTGAAATATGGTATGTATTCCTTTGAGACTGTGAGCACATGGCTCCTATAAAATGGCAAGGGCTGCAAAATCATCTTTAAAAAAGAATCCCAGTTACTTTCTCAGATCTGAGGGCATCTATGGCTTTGAAACCACAATTAGACTCTAGACGAGACCTGATCCGCTGGCTCTGGTAACTTACTGAGATCTTGTGTAGGTCAAGTTTATTTGCTTTTTCCTCCACTATAAATCTGAATTGTTAATTAATCTTATAACCTCACTGGGATTAGGTAAGGTTAAGCAAAATGATTGAAAGGAGCTTTGCAAATTTATAAAGATGTTTAATAATATTTCTAATTATATTGTACGCAGTCTGAGGCTGGTCCTCAGACCCCTTAGCAAGAAACTCCCAGGTGGACTCTGCACAGCTGGCTTTTGGGGAATGGGTGTGTCCAAGGCTGGCAGGTGAGGGTATCTACTTCACCTAAACCCAGTTAGGGAGGGAGGGCTAGGTTCAAGGGGAACACGGAAACTCCCTGGCCCCAAATGCTCTTTCAGAAGCCTCTACTCCTTAGTGTTTAGAGGTAGGTAGGAAAAATGCTTCCTCTGGTGAACTTTGTTCTTCCTCAAAAGCTAGAAAGCTGATCTGACCAAGGAAGTAGCAATGGGCTCTCCCCAGCAACTTTTCCATGCCCCCCCTTACCTCATCCTCCCTCACCACTCTCCTCCGTACCCCACATGACTGAATCTTGAGACTGACTTACGTAGTAATCTTGATCCAGACCTTTCCGCCCAATTAGATGTAATTGTCCAAGAGATACCTAGGAATAACAATTTTTGAAAATTATTTTAGCAATAACATTAATTTAAATGAAGAAAATAAGTCAATTATACCTCAATTTGAAAGATAAATGTATAAAAATGGTGAAAAAAATGAAGAAAACATTTACTTGGTGTTTTATTATAGTATATGTTTCAGTTTGATACAGTTGGCATGTCTAAAAAAGAAGCAGAAAAAACATTCCAGGCTATATCTTCTATTGGGTAAGTGACTGATGCTGGGCATCTGGCTTCCTCAGTGGCAGGAAACTGGCCTGCTGGTATACAGCAACACCTGGAAACATAAACCTAGCAGCCTTTACTCTTAGCTCTCAAAGGTCACACAAATGCTGTCCCATTCCCATTCTCAAAGATATAACACTTCTGAATGATGGTTAAGAGTTCATTCATACTCAACACAGGATGATGCTTTTTTCCTACACTTAAAATCTAGGTTTTTTAAAATTAAAATTTTTAGGAGTAAATGCAAAGAAAAAATTGCCATTACTATGACAGGTGGCTCTCCCATAGGCTATAGAAACAGGGAACAAGAAAAGAGGAGCGGTTGTCTCTTCTTGTTCACATTCAGGATGGAGCATTGTTAACCCTTTTAGTACTCAGACAACCAAACCCCTTATAATTTGCATGTTCTAAAAATCCAAATTCGTCTGTATACATTACTTGTATCTGAACATCTCCTCTTTCTGCCAAAAATTTGTAGTATTGGTATATGTCCCAATCCAAAATCTCATTGTTAGAACTCAGATTTTCAGGTCTCTCAGTTAGTCTCACTTTTTCCACTGGAATACCTTCACTTTTTTCCAATTTGTCAGCAACTGTGAACAGAAACCAGAGAATAGCTGGAATACCCAAGGCTGCAAGAGATAACAGTCAACTTAGCGAAAACAGGGCAATTCTACTTAAATTGAGCAGAGTTCTGGTCTACTAACAGAAAAAAGGACATCTACCGTCAGGAGATAGAAATTTACTGATTTCTGTTTATCTGGTTCTGAGTAAAGTACAAGAAACCTCATTATTTTTTGCAATCCTTACAAAAATTATATCAACATATATCAGAGCCTACTGAAGAGCTTGGCCCAGCAGATGTTAGGAGCAGGCAACTGACCCCTTCTACCACTGACTTTTTTGAGATTGAAACTACAATATAAGAATAATAATTGCTCTTTAATTACTTCCTATGAATAGTCTGAAAATAAATATAAAGATAAATATGTTTGAGTAAATCTAACAGTATGGAGTTTGAAACATATACATATATATATATAGTAATTCCAATTTCATTAAGCATATGAAATGATCTTGTTATATATAGCATCTTACATTAAAAAGCAGTTATTTTCCTTTTTTCTTTCTCAGATCCTAATAATGCCAAAATGTGTATTTAGATATTATTCTGACTACAGAAATTAACCATATGGACCTTACCTTATTCACTTCTTGGAAGACTTTTATTTAAAAATCTATTATTTTGATTATAATATAAGTCTGGTTCAGTGATGTGTAAGATGAAATGTTACATATGATTTTGAAAATGATTCTAGAAACGTATATTATTCTCATGCTCTATTCTTTGTAGACAAAGGATAGGGTAATAGAATGATGATTAACTTGAATTATTCTCAAGTGCAGTGATAGAGATTGATAGTGTATGTATCTTACATCCTTTTCTTCAGGAATTTTTAACAAACCATCCCATATACTAAGTGTTAGAACTAGAAAAACTGTTTAATATTTATTGATGCTACATTCAAATTCTCAGCTGAAGGAAAACACAGCACAAGAACATGGGGACATATGCTAACAAAAATAAAAGATGAGCACATCCATTTAAAGCCCTTGAAAAGTAGCTATTAAGAAATCAGAAGACTCTACATTGTATTAAAAGAATTATAACAAATGTTAAAAAACATAGTCATTTAATACTTTCATAAATATACCAACTGGCATTGATTTATTCTTCTAATTGCTCAGCAAGTCTATTTATCTTTAAAATAAATTATGTGGATTACTCACTATAATCTGCGACCTTCTTGTAATGATTTAGGGCAACTTCACAATTCTGTAGAACATTGATTCCTGACAAATATCTGTATCCCTAAAACACAGGCATATATATTCTTAATATTCTGACAGTGTCGTATTTATAACACACCTTTTAGGCCCAGGAATATTTAATTTACATACCAAAATCATCTGGGACATCATGCTTCCTCCAGCACTTCCAAAGGTGTAATATATCAGTGCCTAAAGTTAAAAAAAATCTGTATCTATATCCACCATCTAAATTTGAAGCTCAAACCAATCATTGCTTTTTTATTCCTAATCCAGCAATGAACTGTGAGCTACTCCAAAATAAATTGCAAATTTTGTCCTCTTAATCTGTAAAAATGGCTGACATTTTTGGAGGGCTTAGTGAGCTCTGGAGTCTTTGAAAAGGGCACTGTATAGATATTTCATTTAATTATCACAAAATACCTATGAAGTAGATATTATTTATCTATAATGGCAAACCTGAAATATGGGACATTAAGAAACTTATGTATTTTAACCTTAATCTTCTGACTGTTGAGCTGGTGCTTTTAACCACCACTCTCAAGTGAGCTCCTTTGCCTAAAGAGGAGACTATTCAATGTCCCTTTTTAAAAAATTCAGTTTTATTTCAGAAAAAAATAGAATGACCTTACCTTGGCTTGATTGTATTCCATTCCTATTCCATAAGAAGACAAAAATCCTAATGCCTAAAGCCCAAAAGAAAAGGAAAACTAAATAAATCCATTTATTCCACAATTATTCTTATTTACATTGGTAAAAGATATTTTAAATGTCTGCTCCATAATAATTTGTATTGTTAGTTTATTTCCTATCCTATAACAAAATGCCTTTTTACACTTTTGCTAAGGCTGTAAGAATTTGGAAAAGGTAATAGTGGGAGTTTTGTAAAACGTAAAAATAGGCTAACATTTACTGACCTTTAGTACAAATTATAATAATAAAACATTATGAACCAATGCTTTTTATATGTTTGCTATTCTTGGCAATGGAAAACACTTTTTTCCTTCAACATTTTTAAATTTAAATTTGAATATTTTTCTTCATATTTTTATTTATTTTTTAAAAAGATTTTATTTATTATGACACAGAGAGAGAGAGAGCAAGCACACAAGCAGGGGTATTGGCAATAAGAGGCAGAGGGAAAGGGAGAAGCAGATTCCCCTCTGAACAGGGAACCCGATGCAGGGCTCAATCCCAGGACCCTGGGACCATGACCTGAGCCAAAAGCAGATACCTAACTGACTGAGCCACCCAGGTGCCCCTTTCTTCATGTTTTTAAGAGAAGATATGATGATCATTGAACACTACATCTAAAACTGATGATGTACTATATGTTGACTAATTGAATTTAAACTAGAAAAAAAGAAAATATGATGGATATAAAAAATTCAAACAGGAAGAACTATATTGAATAAAAGTGAAAGTCTGATCACATAGCAAGATGGTGGAATAGGCAGCCCCAGATCTTGTTCCCCTATAGAGACATTGACTTAGCAACAATATACAGTCCAAAAAGTCTTTATGAGAACTCTGGAAACCAGTTAAGAAATCGTAGTAACCTATAAAAACTCAAAGCAAAGAAAGAACAATCCACTGAAACAAATAAGGAAAGCCATTTTATTTAACCTGCAATTGCTCCTTCCCCAAGCCAGCACAGCTCAGTGTGATGGGGAGAAAAAGCCCAATTCAGGGCTTTTCTCTTGGGAGGGAAAGAGAAGAGTGGAACTTAGGTCCAATGTTCCAGCTTTTGGGAGGACAGCTCATGAGTCTGATTTCTGTCTTGCCTGACTCAAAGCACTAATGAAGAACCTGTATACTTTGGATTCCTGGGGGGCAGCTGAGAACAAAAGAGAGCTCAGCCACTTGTTGCAGCACTGGAGAATGTGTAGTATATCACAGATAGAAGCCAGCACAACTTGGCACAATCAGCAGAAAGTGCTCAGCTTGTAGCTTCTCCCTTGGAAGGGAAAAAAGAGATTGGAATTAGGGTCCAATGTCTCGCTTTTGGGAAGCTGCTCAAAATACTTGTTTCTATCTCCTCTGACTTGGAGCACTGACAGAACTGGTATGCTTTAGATGCCTGGGGCCACAAGAAAAAAAGGGAACTTAGCAGCTTGTTGCAATACCAGAGAACCTGTAGTATCACCAACACACACTAAAGGGAGCAAAAGACGACAAGCTCCTGAAAAAGACCAACAAATCTCTCTAACAGGGAAATTACAAACACAAGCCCAGAGAAGACACACACCCTCAAAATGATTTGAAAGGCCCCCAGAATCTCTAACTATGCTGATTGTGAAAGTCTTCCCTGTATATAGCCAATCTGTAAAGATGGAGAGGTGGCTGTATTTCCAAATGCATAACCGCAACAAAAATTAACAAGGCTCATGAAGAAACAGGTAAATATGGCCCAATCAAAGGAACATAATAAATCTAAAAACACCCCAACCCTAAAGAGATGGAGACCTATAAATCATCATAAAAAACCCAAAATAACTCAAAATGCTACCAAAAAAAGCACATATAAACAACTAAGCAAAATCAGGGAAAGGGTGCATGAATAGAATGAGAATATCAACGAAGAGCTAGAGAAAGAAAGGAAGGAAGAAAGAAAGAAAGAAAGAAAAAGAGAAAGCCTCCTTTTAAAAATTCTGGAGCTGAAGAATACAATAACTGAATTGAAAAATTCACTAGAGGGGTCCAAAGTAGACTTCATTAAGCACAAGAAAGAATTAATGAACCAAAATACAGGTCATATGAAATTATCAATTATCAAGTCAGTGGAACAAAAAGAATGAAGAAAAGTGAAAAAATCCTAACAGACTTGTGGAAACCATCAAGTGGACCAATATACACATTATAGGAGTCACAGAAGAAGAGTAAGGGAAAGAGGCGTAGTGAGCTTATTTTAAGAAATAGTGGCTGAAAATTTCCCAAATCTGAGGAAGGAAATGGGTATCCAAATTCAAGAAGTTCAATAAACTTCAACTTGGATGAACCCAAAGAGGCTCACACCAAGATCATGATCCCAGGGTGATGGGATCGAGTCCCGCATGGAGCTTCTTGCTCAGCATAGAGCCTGCTTCTCCCTTGGCAGCTCCCCCTGCTCCTACTCTCTCTGTGTCAAATAAATAAATAAAATCTTTAAAAAAAGAGCGAGAGATAAACATAATCATATGAGAATAAATGGACTTTAAGTCAGAAAATGTCACAAGAAACAAAGTAAGGACATTATGTGGTAATAGGCTCAATTCACCAGGAAGATATAACCATTATAAATATATATGCAACAGTTGAGCACCCAAACTTATGAAGAAAACATTGACAGAACTGAAAGGAGAAATAGACAGTAACACAATAATAGTAGGAGATTTTATTTTATTTTATTTTATTTTATTTGAAGATTTTATTTATTTGAAAGAGAGAGAGAGTGCACTAGCAAAGGGGAAGGGGCAGAGGGAGAGGGAGAAGGAAACTCCCCACTGAGCAGGACCCCGGGATCACAACGGGAGCGGAGGGCAGATGCTTAATCAATTGAGCCATTCAGGAACCCAATAGTAGGAGATTTTAATGCCCCATTTTCAATAATGGATAGAACAACCTGACAGAAGCTCAATGAAGAAATAGAGGAGTTGAACAATGCAATAGACTAAATACACCTAACAGATATATAGAACACTCCACCCAACAATAATAGAATGCATATTCTTTTTAAGAACACATAGAACATTTTCCAGGATAGACCATATGTCAAGTCACAAAACATTAATAAATTTAAGAAGATTAAAATCTTACCAAGTACCTTTTCTGAACATAATGGAATGAAACTAGAAATCAATGGCAAAAAGAACACTGGAAAATTCACAAAGATGTGGAAATTAAGCATCACACTCTTGAACTACCAATGGGTCACGGAAGAAATCACAAGGAAATTTAGAAAAATGTCTTGAGGCAAATGAAAATTAAAGGCAACATACCAAAACTTATGAGATGCAGCAAAAGCAGTACTAAGAGGAAGAGGCACAAAGCACTTCCAATAGTGAAATATGTTGGTTGTTTTAAGGAAATGCTTGTTTGAGTTGCAAGCTAAAATAGCCACTTTTTTCATGGAACACCATCTTTATTTGAAGGAACAATGGATCAGCTATGTTCATTTAGACTGGCAGACATTTTCTTGAAAATGGACAGTAAGCCTGTCACTTCAATAAAAACTATTGAAAGTATTGTTGCCAAAGATAAATTCAAGCTTTTAAGCAAAAATTAGAATTTTGGAAAGTTTATATCTGCTACCATGTATACCTTATATCTGTTTGACACCCCAATACTTATACTTTTCACGATGGTGGTATTAACAAATGTAATTTTGATATTGTATGATGCAATGTGTCAAGTTTGGAAGACTTGCAAAACTTAGTGAACTGATATTTTCTAAATAACCAATGCATGATGTTCTAAAATCCTGTCTAGGTAAAAAAAATTTCCATTCAAAATGCAAGATAGACCAGTGATTTTAATGTAATAGAATATGAAAAGTTCATTATATGATTTCAGATTCCACACTGCAATTAACCTTTAAGAAGTTATCACTGTTGAGCTTTGATATAGAACTAAAGAAGAATATCTACAATTATCTGAAAAAGTTGTTAAAATACTCTTACATTTTCTAGGTTTATTTTCTTTTGCTATTTCGTTTTTCTTTTAGCTTTCTGAGATATGTTTTTAAGTCTCTTATTTATTAAAACATTTAAAGCTGTATATTTTCCTCTACAAGTGGCTTTAGCCACATTCCTTAACTTTTATATGTAGTGTTATCATCGAGTTCTTACTATGTCATTTCAGTTTCTATTTTATCTTTGCTATTCGCTAAAAATTAGGAGATTGCTGAAATTTTATAGTTGAATTTTAAGCTATTTTTTGTCAGTAATTTTCAGTTGCACTAATTCTAGTCAAAGAATGTAGTATCATTTCTATTTTTTAAAGTAAAGTAACTTTCTTTGTGTGATAATTTTTTGAAAATAATTTTTTGCTTTTTAATTTTGTTTGGGATGATCTTCCATATAAATCTTGTATGTAGATGTGGTCAGGGTATGTGGTTTTTGTTGTTGTTGCTGTTGTTTTGTCTGCCTGGATTCTCTTTGTGAAATCACTTTCCTTCTGTTCTGAATTCATTCGGTTCAACGTGGCTCCTCACCGCTTTCTGAATCTAGAGGGCCACATGACACAGGCTCAACCAATCAGATTATTCTCTTCCTGGATGCAGTGATTGATTAGGGGTGGTCTTGTGAGCTAACCCAACACTTTTGCGGAAATCAGTGGGAAAGAAACTGGCTTCCTTCACAGAGACTTCCAGATTTAAGGGCTAAAGATACCTAGGTTCGTTGGTGACTGTTTTTTGACTCCATGGGTTCAAGCCACTCAAAACCATCACAGAAAAAAGCAAAACAAAGAGAAAGTATGTCTTGATGTCTTCATTCTGGCTTCTGGATCCAGAGTATCTAGAGGCAGCTACAACTTCATAGTTAAATGAGCCAAAAAATCGCACTTTTGCTTAAGCCAGATGGGTTGTATTTTCCGTACTTGAAATTCAGAGAATCCTAATCAATTCAAATGGACATCTCTGTTGCTGGGAGGGAACTTCATTAAGTTAGTAGATACACAGTAAACCAAAATTAATCTCTGTATAGAA